CTCAGGCCAGCAGCCTTTCCCCAGGAGCCTGCCCTCTCCCCAGGAACCTGCCCCCCACCTCAGGCCAGCAGCTTTTCCCCAGGAGCCTGCCCTCTGCACAGGAGCCCGTCCCCTGCATCAGGAGAGCAGCCTTTCCCCAGGAGCCTACCCTTTACCCAGGAGCCTGCCTCCTGCCCCTGGCCAGTAGCCTTCCTGCCCTTCTGCCTGGCAGCTGCTGGGCACCCACCCCTGGCTTGGGTAAGAGCTCTCTAGGAATGTAGGTGGGTGGACAGCTGACATGGACAAACAGATGTGACAGTGGCCGGAGAGGGGCAGCAGCCATGCCAGACAAGGCCTCTGCCTGTCCACTACACCCAGCCTTCTCAGAGAGCCAGCACCACACACACAGGAAAGGGTGGACAGAGAGGCACCCCCCCACACACACACCTTCCCAGCACCCGGAGAGCGGGGTGGAGATCCTGGCTAACTCTGTACAGTGGGTCAAATGGACTTGGTGGCCAGGCAGCTCAAGGGCAAAGGAACACAGCCAGGTCTGTCACCACAGCTTCAGAGACGGGGGTCACCGGGCACAGCCTCGGCCTGAGCAGGGGACGAGGCCACCACCTGAGAAGGGTGCTGGGACACACCGTGCAAGCCGGCTCCCCTCCTGTCCTGCTTCTCCTCCACTCTCTAGCTTGCTTGGGCCGCTGATGCAGCTTCTGTCCAGTCACTTCCCAGTGACCTGCATGGCAGAGCACAGCGCCCTGGGGTGGAGTCTGCATTCAGCTGGGCTGCAAATCAGAGGCTGGTTCAAATCCTCGCCTAGCAGCCAGCGGGCATCTGGCCAATGAATGAACGAACACCTGCCGGCAGCAAGTGGGCACCGGCCCAGCAATGAGTGGGCAGGCCCAGTGGACAGTGGGCACCTGCCCTGGCAGTTAATGGACACCAGGCCTGGTGGTTAGTAAACACCTGACCTGGCAGTGAGTGGACATCTGGCCTGCTTGTTGGTGGGCACCTGGCCCAGCTGTCAATGGGCACCTGGCCTGGCAGTTCTGATCCCAAAGGAAAGCCTGGTGGTTAGTGAACACCTGGCCTGGCAGTGAGTGGACATCTGGTCAGGTGGTGAGTGGGCACCTGGCCAGGCAGTGAGTGGACATCTGGCCTGCTGGTTGGTGGGCACCTAGTCTGGCAGCTCTGATCCCAAAGGAAAGCCCACCGCTGCCCTGTCCACTGCACCGTGAGGCCGGCACCCCTGCACTGGACTTGCCGGCAGTGGACGTCTCTAAGAGGAAATGGCCCGTCCTTCTCCCACAAGCAGTGGGGAACTGGCGTGCTGACCTGAGCTGCCCACCTGACACATACAGCACCACCCCTGGGGCTCCCCGGGTGTGTGCCCGGGACAGGAAACAGACGGCACTGGTGCTCACGTGGGCTCCCAGCACCCCAGCTCTGGGAGAACCAGCCACCACCACACAGGACCAAGCCCACTGTCACCTGGGGGTGCCCTGCAGGACAGTGGAGCCCCGGCCCTGCCCCAGGTGGGCAGCCTCGCAAACCAGGAGGAGAGTCATCAGATTCGGAATCTGGGAATTCACGAGCTGCTGTGGGGTTTCCCAGTGGAAAGGGAACGTGCATGCACTGAGACGTCAAGTGGCCCCTTCTAGTCTGGTCCTTGCTTTATCTTGGTGGTCAGGGCTGGACCCCCACATCTCCAAGGGGAGCGTCTACCACAGACCGTTGGGGGTGTGCACCTTCCTCATCCCAGCCGTAAACTCCACATCAGAGCACATCAAAGCTATGCAGACCTCCAAGGACACCGCAAACCCCAAGATGTACCAGAGGAACGCAAACCCCAATTACAAAAGGACGGATGCACCATTTAAATAAAGAAAAGGAAGGGCCACAGGGCTGAAGAGCTGGACCCAGGCGCCCACGGCCCGGCTCCGGGTCCACTTCGTCCCTCCCTTGCCAAGTAGTCATAAAGTGTTTCCACTGAAACAATTCATGTGCGGCTAAAAAAAAGCAGGGACTTTCCAGCTGAGGACCTACCCCCTCGCTCCCCGGCTTCCACCCTCATCCCGGCTTCCTGCACAGCGGCCGCTTGGTCGGGAGGAGGTGCTGGGGCCTGCGGACCACGCTGGGCACAGTGTCTGACCACTAACCACAGGCCCGCCGGCTGCTCCGCCTCCGGTGCAGATTTACTGCCCCGGACGCAGTCCTGCCGCCGCCCGGGGTCGCCGTTGGGGGGCTGTGCTCACCCACAGCCACACCCGTCTGGAGCCCAGGAAGACGGGCCTCCCCCGGGTGCCGCACAGTCCCCGCGCTGGACAGAGGCTCCGTCTCTTCACTGCCCGCTGCTCCGACCCCCTTCCCACCAGCCCTGGGCTCTGCCACCTCCCACCAGGGGTCCTCACTGTTCCTGCGGAGAATGCCAAGAAGGCCACAGCCTGGGGGCCACTGAGGCTAGGTGAACACTAAACCATTTCCCTGAGATCCTATTTAAACTGTAAACCAAATCTGCTCCCCACGTCGTCTGTAAGCCAAACAGATGGTGAACTGGGGACGGACCCCCACTTTAGAAGAGCTCCCTTGCTCCCTGAACTGGCAGAGAGGAGGTGAGAAAGGTCGCTGAACTCGGGACAGGTCTGAATGTGCAGACACTGCGATGGATCTAGACCAGTGCCCCTCCCTGACCAGGAGTCAGGGTGCCATCCACGAGCCAGAGACTCCACTTCCCAGGCAGTGAGGGGCAGGCCGGGAGGTCAGGCGGGGGGAGGTGAGGGGCAGGCCGGGAGGTCAGGCAGGCAGGGAGGACAGGCAGGGGAGGTGAGGGGCAGGC